TGGGGGTTGGGGGGGGGGGGGGGGTGTGATCATTAGAACAGAGGCAGGTCCCCTGTATTCCAGCCCAGCCCAGCCCGCTCCGCTCCATGTCACTGCAGCTGGCCCTGCTGCACACTTTGACCCTGTTAGATCCCGCGCAGCTATCTGAGGCTGGGAGGTTTCCAGAGGCTTCATGGCTCCCATGTGCCCTGGGGTGGGGGAGGTGCAGGGGGCTGCCAACCTTTCCCCAAACTGGGTGTGCAGCTTGCACCATGCCCTCCCCAGGCAGGCAAAGGTTGGGGTGCAGGACCTTTGTGTTACTTTTGAGGGTGATAAGGGAGGCCAGGACCATGTGAGCCTTGGGCACCGCCTGCCTTGGAACCAATGGGCTGGTCTGAGCAGCTAGGGGAGCCGGCCCTGAGGCACCAGCCTGGAAGGATCTGGGTCCATTTATTCCTTGTAGGCAAGTCTGTATTCCAGCGCAGCCCAGCCCGCTCCGCTCCATGTCACTGCAGCTGGCCCTGCTGCACACTTTGACCCTGTTAGATCCCGCGCAGCTATCTGAGGCTGGGAGGTTTCCAGAGGCTTCATGGCTCGTTGGTGCCCTGGGGTGGGGGAGGTGCAGGGGGCTGCCAACCTTTCCCCAAACTGGGTGTGCAGCTTGCACCATGCCCTCCCCAGGCAGGCAAAGGTTGGGGTGCAGGACCTTTGTGTTACTTTTGAGGGTGATAAGGGAGGCCAGGACCATGTGAGCCTTGGGCACCGCCTGCCTTGGAACCAATGGGCTGGTCTGAGCAGCTAGGGGAGCCGGCCCTGAGGCACCAGCCTGGAAGGATCTGGGTCCATTTATTCCTTGTAGGCAAGTGACCTTATCAGCAGACCCATAAACACTAGGAGCCGAGCGTATCGGCGTGTCAGGGAAGCCGGCTCCCAGCCCTCTGCTCTTCAGGAATTCCTTGGGGCTGTGCATGGCCTGTGCTTGGTTTGACCCAGCCAGCACCATAGAGACTGCACAAAAGAGAAGCCAGAGCGGTCATGAGCTGCCATCTTGGCCTGGCTGCAGTAGGCCTTGGGTGACAGGAGAGCCTTTGGCCTGAAGAGCGAGGGGCCACGGGGCGGCGCTGGGGGGACCAGCCCATGTAGAGCCACATCTCCTCCCTGCTTCCCCTAGTTGATAACCCTGGGCACTGCAGCACAGACCATCACCAGCCAGGGCGCGAAGGGTGGGTATGTCTCCTCCTGCCTGGCTGGGGCCGTGGCCATTATGGTGGCCATCTACATTGCTGGTGGAGTCTCAGGTGAGTGCGGCGGTGGGACTGGGCTCCAGGCCGGCAGGTATGGGAGGCTCTGGCCCTGGATGCCCCTGACTCAGCCTCTCTCCATCCCCTTATCTCCTGGCTGCTGCTGCTACCCTGATCTCTACCACTGCCCTCAGCTCCCAGCCACACACTGCTGACACCCCTGCAGCTCAGGGGCCTGTGGGGCAGGGCTGCCCTGTGCCCCTGCCCTCCCCCCACATCTCAGCCCCATCCCAGCCCCTCCTGCTTGTGTCTTGCAGGTGCCCACCTGAACCCTGCCTTCTCACTGGCCATGTGTGTGCTGGCCCGGTGCCCCTGGTGGAAGCTGCCCATCTTCATTGTCGTGCAGACCCTGGCAGCCTTCCTGGGTGCCGGTGCCGTCTACGCCCTCTATTATGGTGAGAGCTGGGTGTGCGGGTGCAAGGGGCGTAGGCAGCATGCATGCATGTGTATGTGCGTGCCCCATGCCTAGATGCAAGGCCAGGCTCGGCTCTCAGGCTGCCGGGGGCTGTCCAGGCCTGGGTGCCTGAGCCCTGCTCACACCCAACTCCTTTGCAGATGCCGTCCAACACTACAGTAATGGGACCCTTGCAGTCACGGGTCCCCGGGAAACTGCCTCCATCTTTGCCACCTACCCCGCACCCTACCTGTCCCTCCAGAGTGGCTTCCTGGACCAGGTACACCCCTGCTTCCCTTCCCACCCCCTTACCTGGGCAGGTGAGGCTGGGGGTGCAGGGTTTGGATTGGTGGGGCTCTGGGGCTGGTGTTACTATTGGCTGAGCCCTGGGGCAGGTGCGGTCCTTAACCCTGTGGCTGCTGGAAAGAGAGGGATGCCCCAAACTGTGTGTCAGGGGGCCGGTGACCCCCAAGCCTGGGCCCATGGTTGGCTGCCTGCCCCTGGCCCCCCCAGGCCTGCTGCTCTCCCTTGGGGGCTGGGGGCAGGAGAGTGCCCCTCACCGTGCCTGGCGGCCCCTTGCAGGTGATGGGCACAGCACTGCTGCTGGTGGGCATCCTGGCCATCGTGGACACCCAGAACAAGGGCATCCCAAAGGGGCTGGAGCCGGTGGCTGTGGCCATGCTGGTGCTGGCCCTCAGTCTCTCTGTAGGCTCCAACTGCAGCTGCGCTATCAACCCTGCCCGTGACTTCGGGCCACGGCTTTTCACCTATGTGGCAGGCTGGGGCCCCCAGGTCTTCAGGTGGGTGACAAGGTGAGCCCCTCCAATCCACAGGGGCCACCCAGGCCCTCTCTCCCCACTGCGGGGTCAGACCCCAACCATGGCCTGGCCAGGCAAAGCCTGGGCTCTCCCATCCTCCACCCCCACCATGTCCCTGGCCCCCAGTGCTGCCCTGTGAGACCCCCCTTCCCCAGCCTCTTCCCTCTGGACTGACCTGGCCTGCGCTCTCTCCCCAGGGCTGGCCATGGCTGGTGGTGGGTGCCGGTAGTGGCTCCCCGTGGTGGGCTCCATGCTCTACCAGGTGCTGGTGGCGTTTCACCACCCGCCTGCCCCAGGAAGCACCCACGAACTGGAGGTGGAGAAGCAGAAGGAGATCCCCATCTTCATCATCAGCCCTCAGGCTGAAGAGCAGCTCAAGAAGGCCACAGTCCTGGAGGAACCCTGGCCGGTGACTTCTCTGCCTGGGCCCAGTACAGACAGAGAGGGGTCCTCTCCCCGCCACGCTATGTGAAGTCTGGGCCACGGCAGCACCGGAGTGGACCTGCTGCTGCAGCAGACAGACAAACCGAGGGCCCCAGTGGCCACGGCTCGAGCTGGGCCCCGGGGAGAAGGGGTCACCAGCAGGCAGTGCAGACCCAAGCTCTTGTCTCCTGGCCCTACGCTGGCAATGATGGAGCCTGATGCTCTACAAGCCGCTGGCTTCTCTGGTGTCCAGGAGAGAAGGGCGAGCTGCTGGGGCAGCTCGTGGGGCCCAGTGGTGGCTGGTGCAGGATGCTGGGGTCCCCTGGCCCTGTCGCATGAGTGGATACAAGGACTCCTCTTTCCTTCCTGTCGCCGGCAGAGGTGGCCCAGGGAAGGGGCAGCGCCATGCACAGCGCGGCCTCAGAGACCTGTCCATCTCGGTGCCATTAAACACGTTTGCAGGGGCTAGAAGCGCCTCTCGCACACTGGGTTGATCCAGATCCAGTTTGGGCCCCAGGGGGAGGGCACGGGGCCGGGGCGACCCTGCGGGCGGCTGGGCCGGGGAGCCCCGGGCGAGGGGCTGCTGCTCCGGAGCCCACCCCAGCCGGG